CAATGTCAAAGGTATAGAAAGGTCTTCTTTGATGTGCATCAAATTAGATAAATAATAATGGAATAAAGGTTCATTTTTGTTTAGTTTGTAGTAATTGGATAATTCGCATGTTTCAGAGGGAAGATGTACTTAATATGGAGGAAGTATATTTGTCTGTAGCATTGGAACAAAGGAGACATTATTACATAAAATAATTTAAGGATAGAGGATTAGATAAAATTTCACTTTAGTGTCCTGGTTGTTCATCTTCAACAGGCTTGTAACCTCTTTTGTGGCTTGAAGGATACTTGTTCCTAACAGCACTATATACGCAGGCACATAATGGTCTTCGGTTATCCCAACCCATGAAGCCACAAAGCCATCTAATCAACCATCGATACGCAACTGATCTAAGAAATCTACACAGAGAGAAGAAAATGAAACTATTAATTTTCTGAGAAACAAAAGAGTCACAACAAATTGAAATAGACCTTGAGACGGTTTTGGAAGCCATCTTGACGGGTAGGCAAAGCGGTCAGAAATTACAGTGTTTGTATGGGAATCCCATGGCAAAAAACTTTTTACAAAATCAAATTTTACGCAATTTATGAATCGCAACGTTAAAGTACTGAGTAGAAGATTGTATTCACCTAGTTTGAAGAATGCAGGTTGGATACAAGATTCTCAGTTAATTTTCCATACATTTGTCTGTAACTTTTCGCAGGGTAGAAGGGGCGGCGCGCAAAAGATTTACAGACAAATGTGTGGAAATTAGAAAAATTAACTGAGCGTCTTGTATCAAACCTACAATCTTCAAACTTGGTGAATAAAATCTTCTACTCGGTGTTTTAACGTTGCGATTCATGAATTGCGTAAAATTTGATTCTGGGAAAAGTTATTTGCCATGGGATTCCCATACAAAACCTGTAATTTCTGACCGCTTTGCCTACCCGTCAAGATGGGTTCTAAAACTGTCAAGGGCTATTATCATTCAACTATATTTTCTGCTGAACTGATTAAGAAAGCAACTTTTGTTTTAATAACACGTTTTAAGATTATTATCCTGTGATATATGCGATAGATTTGGAGCATACGTAATTTACTGTACTCACTCGTTTTGCGTAGAACCGGTTTGTCGGCGATAGCGTAATAATGGCCCCACTTGCATCAGTACTGTCGGGTTGATCAAGGCTGAGAAATCTTCGTGTTGTGTTATACACTTTATATTCTCTATAGAACCATCAAACACTAATTTACCGATGGCATTTATTACTTCATGACAGCAACGAAACTCCATTGCGTCCTCCAAAGCTTCGCCATGACAGTGTTGACATTTGCACCTATAAACATCGAGAATCGCTTAGAGATCATTGTAATATACTCCATAAAAACTATGACATAAGGTTCTTACCATTCGTTAACGTTAATCTGGCCTTCAAATCGAGCCTCTAAAGTAGATGGTCGAAGGCCATCGACGTCTGTTTCTTCGTCTCCGTCTTCTAGATCTTGATCGCTATCGCTGGCTAGCGGTTCGTCTTGATATGGCTCCTCTACCATATTTTCTTCTTCGGAATTGCCTAATTCTGCACGAGATGATGAGCTTGAAGATTCTGAGTGGTCGGATTCATTACAGGATTCGTCTGAATCACTAAAACTCTGGAGGTTTTCTCTGGACATGTTCGATTCGTTTTAGTATTCTTAGGATAGGTACACCATATGACATCACGCATAAATTAACTTACAAATATTCATTACCAGGCTCCGGTAAGATAATGGCCGAAACTAGCGCAGTTTTGAAGGGAAAAAAGTATATTAAATTTCTTTACAGAACAAATCTAAATATTTCAGGCGTGAACCAAAGACTATAAACTAAGAAAATTCATCGAAAAAAAAAAACTTGTCATATGCACTTTAAGGGAGCAATGCAACAGTTTCAGGACTGAAATACCGTTTTGTGAAACAGCAATATGAACGGTAAGAGGATATTATGTTAGATGAGCTGTAGATTGGATATAAAATGCGAAACAATTGAGTTTGCGAGTTGCCGTGTACATTTTCGACTAACTGACGGCACCATCAAATCAGCTTATTTATCCAAATTTAAAATTTGATTAAATCGCACTGAATCTTTACCCCAAAAAATCCTTCGGAGATAAAAAAGAACCACACTTCGCCTTCCAAAAGCCAGATTTTCAGCCAATTATTTTATTTAGCATCTAGTTAAATAACGGGTTACTTTTGACCTATTTTTAATTTTTCTAGAAGAAGGTTGGACAAATTCAATTAGACTGCGTAAATAAACGATCAAGTATTTCTCAAATTGCTGTGAACATATGTATTGATGTTGTTTTTCAAGACTAGGTTTTTTTTTATTGTTCCAAGTGTTTTCAATCCGTGGCGCGCGATTCGTCTGAAATTTTGAGCTTCAAAAGCGCCGGCATTTTGGCGAAATTCGGTTAATTATCGATTTTCTCGAAAATAAATCGATATTCAGCCAAACGAAGTATGCAGTGCTTTGTTTCACCATAGGGCCTACAACTTGAGAATATGAGCTGAGTCGATTTTTTGGCCGTTGCCACCACCTTTTGGAAATATTCCATTTTTGGCCACATTCGCTCTTAAGCAGCACCTAGTCTTAGTTGTTATGTGAAGTCTTGAAAACTTTTCACTGCGTATTGCGTGCAAGAGCTAGGGAAAAGAGCTATTTGAAAACAAACTCTGGACTCCATTAAAAGATGTAAAAGGTTAAAAGACTTACTTCTGTTCGGCGTTAGGGATTCTACGGCGTTTACGTGTACTTTCGACGCTTGATCTTATATTTCAATGAAAAAATAACCTCAACTAAAAGTTTTCCTGAATACGTAGGAATAACTTTACTGGGTTATACAAATGACTAATGAGCAGCATAAAGGATGAAAACTTCGATTGGGAGCAGTACAAAAAATAATACAAATTAATAAATCAAATCACATCCCACTCTTATTGAGTTATGGATGCATGTGGGCGGTTACTAAGCACGAAAGAAGCGTAAGAGTCGCGCGAGGCGATAGCCGAGAGCGACTCAAGCTTCTTGAGTGCTTAGCAAACTTCCCATGTGCATCTATAACTCAATACTGTACACTGTAGCGTTTATCATTTATTTTATAACAAAACATTGACACATTGTAGCAAAAGAGTTTTCTTTTATTTAACAAATCTTACGCGAACAGAAAAAAAAACAAAACAAAAACAAGCGCGCGCGGAAAACTAGCCGGTCTATGCATTTGCTCACGTCAGCAGCGTACACCCATGGGCAAATGGTGCAGGCTGAATTGACCAGTCAGAGCGCGCGCTTTACTTGGGTTATGTTATAAAACTGCTTTGATATCGCAAATACTAATACCCTCTCGATCACTATTAAGACTCAGAAAACATACGATACGTGGTACGCATGTAAAAACCGGTTTGCTTATCTTCTCTTTGGAATAAGCGCTACTGAAAACAGTGCATGTATTTCCCCCTAGGGCACCTCTCGACGATAAAGTTAGACATTTCATCCTATCCACTGATCTTCTGGGTGATAATAGTCCTGAGAAGGACTGCTGTCGGTAGTATCGACTGACTTTTTTACAACCAGAGCGGAAGTCATCGTCAAAATCAAAACATTCCCTCTTAGGACTACTCTCGCTCTGATGACCAGACCACACGCTCAGATGTTAAAGTTTGGCTCAAGAAATTAACTGTAGAACTTAGAGATTTCATTGACTCACAACTTTCCAATGTAAATTCTTTCATGTGTGGTTCATAATCTAATACTATGATTTGACGTCTCAGTTTATGTGGGAGATCATACTAATTTTTCTTGCTTTCAGCGCTTCTCAATTATGCCTGCGATAATTTGTTTTTTTCACGGACGTTTATGAGCTTCTTTAATTTTGAAAACATATCTAAAATCTCGAAGAGTGTCTTAGCCTCAAGTAATAATGATTTATGAAATTACGAAGCTTCATGACGCAATGATCTTAATCAGCACTCGAGGAAATTAACTCCGATTGAATAAGGAAAATGTTGGTTCTTCAAAGGACTGATCATGATCCCAAGTACATTCTTTCACGATGGAACGGAAATACCAGTGGCCATGCATAACGCACACATCCAGACAGTCTCCTTTGCCCTTAAATCTTCCAAGTTCATTTCTGATGAAGTATCATGATGGCGGTGGGTAGTCTGTTGTTTTTAAGTGAGATGCACTTGAAATGTGGCATTTATAAGCATTGTAAATAGCTAAGATATCTGTGAACTTCAAGGTCGGCACAAACGAGGAGACTAGTCCCTGCAACTAGTCCCCTTAAGAGTTTACACGAAGGGACTGGTCGCAGGGACTGGTGGCAGGGACTAGTCCCTTGTAGCAGGAGCCCATCACTCTACTTGTAGTGTTTATACGCGGGGACCAATTGCACAGGAATGTGGCCAAAATTGGGGAAGAACAGTATCATTCTTAAATGATGTAGCTTTCTTAAGAAACCAAAATTATCAAAATAGCAATGTAGCACTGAGATAAATCAGCTCAGTACAAACTGGAGATTGTTCAGTGAAATTTGATTGACACCAAGCGTTTTGAGGAACAATACGCAGAGACTTGTCCCTAAAATTCAAACCAGTTTGAATCCGTGGGACTAGTCGCAAGGGCCAAATTTTAGTTCGTGCGACTAGATTTTGTGGCAAAAATGGCTAGTTCACACGATCGGACTTGTCCAGTGACTCGTTACAGTGACTAGGCCTGGTCACAAGTTGCTCGGCAACTTATCGGCAACTTTTGAGATTTTCGGCAACCTTTAGAATTTTGGCAACTTTTAGAATTTTCGGCAACTTAGGGCTTTTTGAGGTTCTTTGAAGCCACTTTCTTCCCGTTTTGAGCCACATTGGTCAGTTTTCGATAGACATTTATTCAATTTATTCTAAAATACAATAATTAGGCCCCCACTCCTCATGGGTTGATTTTTGTGATGCCTTAGCACGAGGTCAGTGGTATCAGGTTTCACATTTTTCAAGATGGCGGACAATTACAGTGACTATTTGTTCATCAAGTGAAATGGAAAGAACCTCTGATATTATCATTGGAGTTTGACAAATAAAGATTTGATAAGAAGGAATGAGCGAATTTTTAATCTTTAACACCCAAAACAGGTACGAAAAGCAGAAATATTTTGCCAACTTTTCGGCAACTTTTTGGAAATTCAGCAAGCTTTTGGCAACTTTTTAAAAAAATAGCAACTTTTTGACAAATTTTAAACACTTTTGTCGGCAACTTTTTTGGGGAATCATCAGCAACTTGTGGCTAGGCCTATCCATTGAGCTAACAGCCTCCCGGCTAGCTCAATGGATAGAGCGCTGGACTATTGTGCGGGAGGTCGAGGGTTCGAGCCCCTGCCAGACCAACACTCAAGGTCTTAAAATAATTGAGAAGGATTTGTTACCTTTCTATAACATCAAGAAATGGTTAGACATTCTAGTCTTCTCGGATAGGGACGAATAAATGGAGGTCCAGTCTCTTGCAGGGTTGGGGTAGGAGACGTTAATTTCCCACACACGAGATTACTGAGAAGCTAGAGGTTGCTCTTGGCTACGCCTCGAGCAACCCTTACGCATCTTTCGTGCTCTCCAAACTTTCCGCGTGCTTCATATTTCGATGAACGCATGCTGACGTATGAGCCAATTGTTAAGTTTAGCATAGACCATCGAGCGTGTCCGTCTATCCACAACAGTTTTGGTTTGTTTACAGCTAAGTCTATGAAAAGCTCACGGACCAACAATAAGATTAATTTAAGCAATGGAGGACTTTTACCGTGTTAACATTGCCTCAATTAAACACGATGGGGACCTGCAAATTTCGAGAAAGCTTTACAAACCCAAGAAGCGGTCAGGAGGTTTGCATAGTTCTTGAGACTTGAGTGATATTGCTAACTTTTGCCAAAAACATTTATAAACATACAGAAGGTATGATTTCATTTATTTACTGCAAATAATTATCTTAACGTTTTCACATAACGTTAACAGTTGACCTTAAAATCAATCTAATTTAGTATATATGGAGTTCCCTTAACCTACTCACTTGAAAATGACCTCAGAGAGGTCGAAACGTAGTGACTTCTTAGCGCTAACTTTTATTTTAAAGTCGCTTTCTAAGAAACTACTTATTACGACTTAACATAATTGCAATTAATGCCTCTAGGAATTTACTTTTGGATCTAACTGACTGACAGCAGGGTCAGGCGTAGTTTACCGGTACAAACTTTCTACATAAAAAATTGCGTTTTGTTTCCATCAAGACTTCTTAAAATAATCACGTTCCCTGATAAATCCTAGATAACTATACCAAATTTTAAATTTGACTTTCTCTCCACTGGACTATGCGATTACAGAGCCTTCTAAGGGAATCTGGAAAATTTTATCCTGACATAAACAAAATCCTTCCCCTCCACTCACCTGCGATAAAAAAAATTAAATAAAATAAAAAAATAATAATAATAATAAAAAAATTACCAGTCCTTCAGGAAGAAGGCTTTAAAAAAAGGTCACTGGTCTGATTTTCATTTCAGTTGATCTGGGAGTGGTGTTTTTAGCTTCAGGGTTTAAATTTGCCCAGTGAATTCGAGAATTACTTCCACGATGAGGATAGATCCCGTTGAGATTTGAGGAAACAGTACAAATTTGATTCAAGTAGAGGTACCACCAGCCTCCTCCTAATGTCGGTGCACAATCACGGTTAGCTGGAAGCCTGTCCCAGGTACCGAATAACTTGCCATTATGAAAGGATAGGGAATCATTAACGGTTGCAACTAAACACAAAAAAAAAGAAAGAGGAAAAAAATGCAATATATTTTAAATTCATGGATAGTAATTATTCGTAATTGTTGAGAGCCTAGCTCTGGTCCATTTTTGTGTATAATACGATGCGATTCTGCTACTTGTGGAGGTGACATTTCAGAAAACATTTTTAATTCTAGAGCATCCAGGTTACTGAATTAAATCTGATCACTAGTTTCCTATACATTCCAGGTCCTCGTGTCACCTGATTGATTCTATGCCACCGAGTTACAGGCAACTCTCAAGTAAAGGAGTTGTTCAGGGTTAGTCTCATGAGTGTGATATGCATAACCAGATATGAATCGCACTGAGATTCTCAAGGCAAACAGTCGTTTGGGAGACATTTGCTTTGAAATCAACCGGATGTAAGGGAGGTGACAGCAACTGTCATTTATGACAATGTGCATTGATTAGGAAAGAGAAAATTGACTTACATGAAATATTGCCGATGTGCAGTTTGTAATCAGCTGTCTCGTTCTCAATACCAAACCATTCATACTCTGCGTAGACAGTTTTGTCGTCAGTTATTCCCAGATCCACGCGGAGTTTGTTTTCTGTCTTGTTTTGCGTCAGGCGTTGGATCTTGTCCAGTCCGAGCCAAAATTCACGAATGAGGAAATCACCGAATCCCTTTTTATAGACATTCCAGGTGCGATTGAAATCCACGGTATCATCCACCCTCTTCTGGATCACTGTCCATCCTCCGTCGGCTGTTGTGTGGTCACAATAGACATCAAAGAGTGGACTNTAGTCAATTGTGTGTGCTGACCTTAACAAATGTCTTCAACGATGTCTGTGATCACGACATCTCTACTTCTGCAAATTTCGCAATCGTATCTGTGTTGAGCACAACCAATGAGCGTGTCCGTCTATCCACCAATTGTTCAGGTTTGTCTCCAGCTAAGTCTTTGAAAAGCTCATGGACCAACAATTACATTGATTTAAGCAATGGAGGACTTTTTCAGGCCTACTCCAGGACCTTAAGTTGCTGTAACTTTGGGCGACTTTAGGCGATTTAAGGCGACTTAAAGAGACTTAGGGAAAATTGGCGGAAAAAACATTGGGACTTTAGGCAATTTAATGCAACTTAAGGTGACTTAAGGCAATTCAAAGCGATTTTATTTGACTGAAGGAATAAAATCAAAGTTAGCAACAGTCTCTCAATAAACCTTAAAAATATTTACAGAATCCCTTGCAATAACCACAATAGTCATTTTGCTTACTTTTTTATGCTCATAAGTCGCCGTAGTCTAAAATATCCAAATTTCAATCCAATTTAGCAAAAAATAATTAAAAAAGTTACCACGACAGTTATTGTTAAATTCTACGGTCAAAGCTAGTGAAAAATCCAAAATTTCTCGATCCTTTTCAGGGACCCAACCAATTTGTTGTTCTCCTGCCTCAGTTAGACAAAAAACCCCAATACCATACTGAAAACCATATGCTAAGGTCCTTCGTAAAAATACTTCCTTTCCAGTCTCTCCAACTACTCTTCTAGCTGCAAAAAACTTCGAATTTGCAATTATAGAGAATCTAGTCTCTTTGGAAGATCTTTTCCTCTGTTGATCGGATCATCAACACCTTCCAAGCATTCGCTTGTTCCTACCCTGCAGTGTTTCACCTAAAAAAAATAGTTAAAGTTTCTTGTTAGCCTGGTGACAGTATTGCAGGTTTAAAAGCATTTATTGTTACCTTAACAGCTTTCCAGGAACTAACGAGCCACGACGAAATTCTCCAAGCTGATAACTGGCTCTGCAACCTCCGCCATTTAAATTCTCCCAGCAACCTTTGCGCCGCAACTTGTTTCCATGCTTCGAAGTTAGGAGCGGAACAACATTAATTAGAGGGCTTCTCTCGCCAAGTACGCTCACACTATTCGCTATTACCGAAAGTTTCCTTCACCTTACCTCGGATTGTGTCACTGGTAGGATTTTCTTTCTGCAATGCAGGCAGGCAACCAGTCAATAGACACAAGGTGGACTTTTTCTGTGGGTATGGATTGGGAAAGAATGCAGGCCAGAATGATAATCTACTCCACGAGGGAAAAGCACGTGCGCGGTGTTTTTATGGAAGCAGTCGCCCAGTTAAACTTTCAGAGTGAATTTTTCTGAAGCTTTTTAATGTCTTTTTTTTTCGCACATATAAATTAATTATTTCTCTGTACACTTTTCAGCAGGCTCGCGTGCACTTTGGTCACGGGACAAAACTTATTTCTCGTGATCAAATATGACTGGTTTGCTGGTAAAAGGCCTTTCTCGGCTTAGAAGGAGTTCATGTATGTTGATCATCAAACTGACGAGGATGAAGCGTAAAAAAAGACTTTCAAAGTCTCAAGATCGATAAATATTTACGCCGTTAGTAGGTTCGTCGAGCTACAAAGTTCAATTGTTTCCAGTTGATCTTATACCACGGTGGAAGTAGCTAGTACAGATCAATGGGTTTATGCTGGAGAAATGGCCCACTTTTTTCACTCTTTTACTCTGGGTAAGTTAAGTGGGTAAAATTTAGTTTCAGTTAAGTTTAGTTTACTTTTCATAATGTTATTTTTACAGCTCAAGGTATAAGTGAGTGGCAAGATTTGAGCGCCTTTCTCCAGAATAACTTTCTATCGTTTTATCTTGATGATCCGGTACTGTACGTTTGATGTGATTCAATATTTATTATATCCTGATGACAATCGACCGTGTCAACCCTTTTATCAACTTTTTCATCATGAAATATAAGACAGAAATTTTGTTCGAATAGATAGTTGTTTTAGTAAGAAAACGGAAGAGTATACATATTCATATTTCCTACATCAGTATTGTCTTCATGTAGGAATTACCCATGCCAACACAGGGGCTAGACAGGTGCATGAATATTTTCACATGGGGTTTCTATGTATATGGAAGCCATTGCCCACCTCACGAAAACAATAATTAAACTCGTAGTCCATCGCAGGGTTACCTTCCCCCCTGCCAACCAGTACTCACATTTACACCTGGGAAAGGTGAGGCATTTTTATCTTACAGTAAAATGCCCAAGAACAGAATGCAATGCTCCAACACTAAACACCAAAACTGGACTAATTCAGAGTCCAGTACACCAACCATTCAGCCACCATGCCTCCTCCTCTAATCCTTATGATCAGGGTGGGGTCAATGAGGTAAATTGGGAAGGGTGGACCCCTTCTAACATTGCGTGATCAATAGCGACTTTAGTCGACCTAAGGCGAATTAAGGTCCCAGAGTAGGCTTTTATTCCGTGTTTACACAACTTCATCTCAACATGGAAAAGCCTCACAGAAGACTAGTGAAAATTTCGAACCAAACGATTGATCCTTCGGAAGGGTGACTTTGGTCACGACCCCTCTCCCTCCCATGATCTTTTCAAATTAGGCGACGTATCTGTGTATAGCACAAATACATTTTCATTTGAATGTTAAACCATTATCTACAGTTGTTCAGATTTTTTTTCTCCTCAATCCATGAAAGACTTAGGATGAATCAAAATTAACATTTCAATTGATATTTAAGGGGGGTCCTCCACTGTTTTTTAAAATTATCACTTAAACTGTTCTTTAAGTGTCTAAAAGTAGATTCTTCGGACAGAAAAGTCTTCTCTTCCCTTAGATTTTTCGTTCTGGCCTCTCAAAAAAGGCCTTCGTGACCATTTCGAACTTCCCGCGATCGCCATTTTGATCGGCGCGCAAGGCTCTCTGGGGTAATAACGTAAAATGATTGCTCGTCCGGCACATGTTCCAGTCATCTGTTTGCAAACAAACTTAATATCAGTTCTACGATGTCTATTCTGCCGTATCAGCTTGAACCTGAATATTATTCCAGTGAGGAAGGAGAGGAAGAACAGATTGATTCTGGGGAGGAAGAAGCTTTGTTAGATTCGTCGAGAGTTGAAAGTCGCCGAACGGACCTGTCTTGGTGTGAATGTGAGAGATGTGGTGTGATGCTAAGTGAAGTTGAATGTGTCCGCTGCAAAGAACTTCCTTTTTTGTCACAACTGGTGGAAGGTTAGTTAATTCTGATTTGATATATCATTTAATCTCACCTTTTGTTTTCCGACGAAGTACTAGAAACATTATAAACACTTATGATCCGAGTAATTGTATTGTTTGCGGTAAATCCGTGTCCATGGTCTCGTGGTTGCTCGGGGCTATCCCTGAATCTTTCGCTTATTTTCTTCTAAAATGCACTTCATTACTATCACAAATTACCCGAGTAAGAAATCTCTTGTCAAAATTCGACACAGTTACTCGGACACGAGAGGATTCTTTTGACTATGAATGTAATCTTCTTTTGTTTACATAAGGTCATTTAGAAGACTAGATTTAGATGTCTTGTGGAATTTCAAACATAAACAGCAAAGGCAGGAGATACCTTCTGCTTCAACTGAATGAGGTTTGTCTCTATTATTTTAGGCTTGACATGTATCAATGAAAGCTTTCGAGCAGTTTGTTTAAACGAGGATGTGTTGTGGACAGCACTAGCAAGTCTGTACGACAGGGAAAGTACTGGTCTTCCAGACAGACAACAAGTGCCCAACAGGTATTGGCACTTTATGGTTGTTTTCATGGCAGTGAAATTTTAGTATGAAATTAAGCTAAATGCCAGTAAAATATGTTTTTTTTTTTTTATTGTGTGTGCAACAATTGTCGTTTATTGTTTTGAGTGGAAAAAAGGTTTTCGGGGGAAGGGGTGCTTAGAAGAGCTTCGAAAAAAAGGAGTGACTTATTTTATACAAAAAGATTTACATATTTACATTGTAGCCTGACACCAAAACCCTCATTAAGTTTTCTTTTTGTGGGGGGCGGGGGGTGGGGGGATGCTGCAGTCTGGGTTGGGATGGACTTGAGGTAACTTGAATGTGAACCAGGAGTAAGCCAGTCAATGTCCATAAAGATGTCTGGTATCATTAGCAGCAAACTTGTGTACTTCCTTCTGCGATCTTTTAAACATTGAATATATTGTTGTCTTTCAAGTCATTTCGTTATGCAGCTTATCGGTAGTTTTTCTGGTGGGCTCATGGGTACCTTGGCAAGAAAATTCGACGTGTCATCCCCTCGTGTGCAGTAAAAACTATCAGGTAAAATTTTTCTTCCGAAGATCGGATTTACGCTGGATATCTTCCTGGAAACGATGATGATGACAGTGCCTTTGACAGTGAGCTTGAGCAAGCATGGAGGGACTTTTTCACTATTTAAAACATTCATCTTGGTAGCAAAATTTTAATCAGTTACAACACACATACAAGAATTGTTTGAAGCCAAGGATAATTTTATGGGTCATTAGCTTGTAATTCTCGAAAACTACTTTTTTCCATGAATGTAGATTTACTGGATCAACTGCTCTCCTCTTTCGAACACCACAGGTGAATGCAGAATGACCAGTAACACCAGCCTTGATTAAATGCCACATTGAGAAGACTAACACTCTAACAAACACTGCAGCATTTCATCAAGTGAAAGCGCCAACTATAACCACCAAAATTTAAAGTTATATGAATGGCTTATTTGATTTCTGAGATTTAAAATAATGTTCATACATCAAATGGGCTTTCTATCCAGCCCATTTCACTCTTTTTTACTGCTATTTTTGCACTGATTGATGATGCTTATGATGAATTTGAATTATGTATTATTTACAAGGTAAATTGGTTGATTTGGGTCAAGAAGTCTATTTTTTACATATTATAACAACACAAACAAAAAACCATTGTAATGTGGTCAATAAAATGATTGACTTTCACAATTCAAAGCGTATGTTTTTTTCCTGTAAATACTTTTAAAGCGACATTTCCAATTTTTGAAGGAGATCAAAAACTGGTAATCATCAGAGAGAAGTTTTGATCCTCATAGAAATGCATGAAAACAGAACTTGCCACTTGTCAAAAAAACCAATGTTAACAAGAATCAACTTGGGGAAATATAGTTAGTTACTTGAACCGAGATAGTTGCTGTCGTGTTGCCATTTTCTCCTTCCTGCTTGGCCTTTCCTTTGGAGCCATTATACCGCACCTGTCCTTAACCCGTGCAGTAGGTTTGGTTCCTGATGCTGCCAAGTGAAATGCTGCTTGCAACATATCATCTAGGTAATCATATTTTTTTATTTTTAAAACTGGCTCGGCACCAAACTTCTTTGAAACCTTGCTCCATGACATTTTGAACCTTGGCTCCCCCTGCGACTCTCCAGTTTGGATTACAGCCTAGTAAAAATTACCATTTGTCAGAGTTTGAGGGCCTCTTTGAATAAAATGTTTCAACGAGAACCCTTTTGCACAAATTATAAATAATTATTATAATAATAAGTACAGTTTAGGAAAGTACAGTTTGGCATTCACTGACACCAGTGTTAAGAAATTACTCAAATGTATGCTATTTCAAGGCTTATGAAAGGGCTCAGANTACAAGATTGTTAACAAAGCAGATTGATTGATTCACTGATTGATTGATTGATTATCCCCATTCTGCACAAACAATTTTTAAATCTAGCCTTAAAAGTGGGCGACTGGTTGATCAGCTTTGCTATTATGTTTCCCTTAATTGATATAAAATAAAGCTCATTTTCTCAAACTGAACAGTCGACATGACTGCTTCTCACAAGAATAAAGTTGACTTTACGTCAAGCGTAAGTTTTGCATAAAGACGTTTATACTCTATATTTACGCGTCTACGTAAACGTGGGTAAATCTCTACTTAACACCACTGAACTTTACGTTTTGTTTTAAGGCCTCTTAAAGAAGTCTCATTACTCTAGCTTTACGACAGTGCGTAAAAACTGCATAAAGCGTATCTTTACGAAATGCAAATGTGACGTAAAGCTTTGTTAAGCTGAACTTTAGAACACCTTTACGCCAACTTAAATTTGTCTTTTCATGCTGTGTTTATATCTGAATTAAAAGATAAATCACCCAACAGCTCATTGTATCATTTGTAAGGGACTGTGGCTTCTTCTAAATTGGAAAGACCATACATCGGATGGCTCAATGTTCAGTTAAGTTGTTAATAGTCAGTAGTAATACCTAGAGCCAGATGCTTATGTTTCTAAAATATGACTATTCAATTTCCCTTCAAAATGCAGTGTCACGACTTTACACACAACAGTTTTTACCTGACGTCTTCTGAGTGTGGGTATTTTCAAACCAAAACTTCTCTGGAAACTGTTGTTATGGGGGCCGATTCAGTTGTGATAACACACAAGTATCCGCCAAAAAGGCATATCTTTATGATTTTCACAATGAAGGGGAAGTTTACACCACTTACGTTCCCACGATCATTTTATGAGCAAGGTGAAAACTTTATTACAGTAACACTTTTCGACATTCATGTGTTCTTCATTTTCACTGAGATCTTAAATATTCAACCGCACAAAGGAATTAAATAAATCGATTAATATACAGCAGCCTTGTAGAACTTTCCGTTTTTAACTTCCTTCTCCGATTAATTTAAGTGAGATATGAGTCTGAAAGAGCGCTTCACTCCTTCACTCCTGAGGTTTCCGTTGCTTATAAAAATCGTGCTATCTCACCACTTATAAACTCCAATTGACTGAACCATTTATATGACGGGAATCCCCCTGGAACTTGAAACTCCTTCCTCGCATCTTTGGGGTCTTACGCCGGAGTCCCAGAGGCAATCTATTGTTTTGCCTCTGTTTTCTTTTCTTCAAGAATTGTATGCATAGTGGAGAATGGGGTTAGACGGAAATCTTGCTGGTGATAAATTTATAAGATACTGGTTTCGTACCGTGAACAGGCTCTATGTCGGCTGTTTTGCGCATCCCATTTTCCAAAGAGTTGCATAGCTATTATCTTCTCTAAAGACCTTGTAAAGACTTCTTCATTATTTAATTCTCAGACTTCCTTCA